TATAGTTTGCTGTTTAAATAAATGGATAATATTCATCTAAGCTCTAAAAAGCGTTTAATATTAATGCACTTCTTAGATTCCTTCGAAAGACACCGTTTGCTGTCAGTATGAAAAAGTGTCTCTAGCTTAATCGCAGCATTTGTAACCGCACGTTTCCCTGGTTATTTTAATGCTGTCTGAGATTCCTATCGATTCTGATTCCGCAATATGCTGCCTAAATTTTCCGAGGCTTACCTCATGTTTATGACAGGGCATTGTCAAAATGCCTTTCAACGACACTCGTTGAATAATTACACTGAATTCGGCGTCATTTCGCTCATCGTTGTTTTCATCAAGACTTTCTTTCATGGAGCACAAGTAGCAGTATAGTATTGGTGTAGTGGCTATGTAGTAGTATGGTAGTGTAATTTGCTGTGCTAGTTAAAATGTTTTAATTGCTAAGCAGAGTCTCTGCATAGCCTGAAAAATGTTTCGCTTTTCTTTTGAAAATATGTGTTAATTTTTAGTTAGCTATCAGACGGGTCAAGGTATATTGCACCTGCAAAGGCATACTCGTCAGACAGCATAACCGATTGTCGCTCAGCGTGTGACATAATCATAAAAGAATACGATGCTGCTCCTTAATCGCAAATAGGTGACTTGCTGCCCATTTTCGGCTGGTTTCGCCGAAGCAAAGCGCTATATATTCTTCACTCAAGGAATCAGCAATTAAATTTTATGCCGCCCTGGGATACAGATCTGCACTCATAATGCCGAACGAGTTTCTTTTGCGTTTCTACTCTCTCGCGTTTCAACCTGGATAAGCCAGAGGTAGTCTTGATGCAGCTTTAATAATCGGAAAGTTAGGAATTATTGAATTTTTGCAAGTTAAAATTCATTTGTTTACGTGTTCCTAGTGGGAAACACCAAGCATTCTGCTCCGCTAATGTTGAAACAAAATTGAATCTTCACCTAAAAAAGTTAGGAAAGGTATTCAACTAGGAGACGGGTAGAAATCCCAATTAAACTTTTTCCTCCAGTGGTATACAGTTCATAACTTTAGACTGCAAGCGCGTCGGTTTGTTCTGTTCCTACTTTGAGACATCACGTGGCCACCAATAGACATGATGCAGGCTGTGCTATATGGGTAGGTTTCAACGCTTCGCGTTGACCTGTGCAACCGCGTTCTCTTTGGCTTCAGTTTCTCAGGAAAACCGGCAGTTTTCTCCAAAATCAACGGAAATGGTGTTAACAGCGCAGCATGCAGTTCTTCATTTCTTTCTTTCATCATCTTCATCTTCATCTTCCATCGCCGCTTTTCTTTTCGGGTCGCGGAGGCAGACACGTCAGAGAGAGCTTCCAACGTTCCCGATCCTGTGCTAGAGTCAGAGCTTCGGCAAAAGATAAATGGAGTCTGGAACAGAATTTGGGCCGTCCACTGGGCCTTTTGCCGGTCGGATTTGCAAGGAACAGTTGCTTAGCCTTCCTTTCTGGACGCATTTGCAACACGTGCCCAAGCCATCGCAGCTGTGACTTCTCAATCTGGAGAAGCAAAGGCTGTATTCCAAGGTTCTTCCGAATGTCACTGTTACGGACCATGTCGAGACACGTAAGGCCAGCGACTCGTCTAAGAAAGCCCATTTCAGCAGCATGTACCCGGGTTCGAACTTTTTCAGTGATGGTTCACGATTCATGAACGTAGGTAAATATGGGGATAAATATTGACTTGAATATCGAGAGCTTAGTTTTCAGCCTGAGCTCTGCTTTAGTTACAGTAGTTCACGCAGAACGCCACTGGC